AAGTAAAAAAAAAAAATATATATATATATAATGAAAATATTTTTGAAAAAGAAAGAAAATTTTAAAGTCAAGTTTAGTGATTTTGCACGGTAAACAACTTCCCTCCTGGTATTTCAATGACTATTTTTGACCAGGGTCAAACCATCACCTTTACAAACTTCTTCTCCCTTATATTTTAAAAGGTCAAAATAGCCTACAGGCCACTAAGCAAGAAGTAAAATAACAAAATATCTACATTGTTTGCCATGTCGAAAGGTGTTATCAGCTAGTTCACTGATTACCAGTAAAGATCACAAACAAGAGCACCTCTTTACCGATTTTCCTATATTGTAATTTGTTTTAAAGCCATTGTTCTTAACTTCTAACCAATTTACAGGCATTTTATCTTGATGTATTTTCTTTTTATCTGTTAAAATAATTCTTCGAAAATTAATAAATGGATAATTATTTTATAAATAATATGATAAGTTACGCCATAACGTTATCTGCATAATTAATATAATATACATCATATAATTTCCTGTTGAATATTTTCCTTAATATCTACTTTCTAAACACTTTGAATTGGGTTAATCAATAAATCAACGTTAATTCTATAAGTTGATGTAATATTTAATTCTCATCCTTTCAAAATATTCCAATATTTTACTTTAAAATATGTCCCAACTTTAATGGAGTCGAAACCGACCGCGTATTTATTATTATTTTTTTTTATGACGTAAGAGCCAGCCCAAATTACGTATTCCCAAGTCACGTGATACGTGATAGGGAGGATGCGAAACTTGTATCCAACCAATCACCTCCACCCAAAATATCTGACACTTCGGGAGTAGTATAGTCTGGAAATTCAAAATGCGATCCGGAACTGGAACTTGCGGTATCCACGGTGTCCAATTCCGTGAGGTTTGTCAGGCTGCCTAATTCCTGTGCCCAGTTGGAGGGGAACTGTAATACGTCCGCCAATGCGTCCAAATCGGCCAGGCTGCTGTCCACTGGTCCCTCGGCCAGACGCGACGCTTGCGGAACGCACGCGCTGGTACCGTTACCCCCCGTGCTCTTGTCGAACAGATCGTCGTATAGGCTAATGTTAGCACTCTCGGGTGAAGCCGGCTCGTCTGCCGATGGGGAGCAAGGGACTTTGGCAGGCGGGGTAAGTTGACTAACAGAAAGCGGCACGTGTTTACTCTGTCTAATACTGTCTCTGAACTTCTTGTCGATGGTCAGTTTGAGTTTGAGTCGATTCTGATTGACGGCGTGGGTCACCGTGGTTGCGCTCGTGCGTTGGTGCTTGGGCTTGCTGGAACCACGATCGCCTCCGCTACTACTCTTGTGCTTACCCAAACTGTGTTTGCTGGTGGACTTTTCGGACTTGGGCAATTGTTTCGCTTTCTTCTTGGGCCTATATTTGTAGTCTGGATATTGCTGCATATGTAATATACGCAGCCGTTCGGCCTCCTCTATGAAAGGTTGACGTTCGTCTTCCGATAGAAGTTTCCACCTGCGACCCAACCGTTTACTGATCTCGGCATTGTGCATGTCTGGCTGTTGCTCGCAGATCTTCCTTCGTTCGATCTGACTCCAGACCATAAAAGCGTTCATCGGTCTTTTGATATGATTCGTAACTTTCTTGCATTGCGTGGCGTCCGTATATGGCGTTCTAGAATTGGAATCGACTTTGAGCGATCCGAAGACTTGCTCCTCACTCATTGATTGTCTTCTGTCACTTATCTTCGGCCTGACTCCTCCTGACACTAAGTCATGATTGCCAGCCGAAGCTGCAGACACGTTACCACCGTCGGTCGAGTTGCTGTGCGGTACCATGCTTAGCACAACACTATCTGGCCGTTGATTGTTATCCAGTCCAGGTCGGCGTAACGAAGGCACGAAACGGGTTAATCCAAAGTATGACACGGTTCGACTAAAATCCACTCCCCATAAACAGGGGCCAAGTCTCGAGTCTAAAAATCCTTATGACGCACGATCTTCTCTCACCAACGTATAAACCTACAGCGAACGGTGGCGCTCTGGTATCGGTCTTCTTATGGCCGCGGACGTGTGACGTCGCAACTCGTCCGCCAATAGGAAAGTAGGGTAGTGTCAAGGTGAACGCCCCCGAAGACGTTCAAGGATAAAGTGGGAGGAGTTAAATCGTATTTACACAAGCGAGTCTGGACGGCGACTTTCGCTTTTTCCTCCGTCTCTCTCTCTCTCTCTCTCTCACCGCTCCGTGTGTGTGTATGTTGTCGATGTGTTCGAAGTCCGACCCTCTTTCTCTCTCTCTCCTTTTGTGACGTAATGGCTTCGAAATGTACGATCGACGATTCCTCGCTCGTCTATGTGTCGACCGTTCGCCGCCACGCGTCGCTCTTCACTATAACAATGTGTCTTTCCAAGAATATTAAAATGACGTCATTTTAATCCGTTCTTTTAAATATTTTAATACTATAAAAAAGAAAAATATTTAATTAATTCAACATCCTTAATTTTATATACAGAAATAATAATAAATCATTTAAAAAAAATAATAATAATCTAATTCGTCTCTATTTACAAGTAATTGACAAATTTTCTTATATATACTCGTAGTAAATTAATAATACAAATCGTAAGAAGAGGCGCCATTTTATTTTTTTTATTAATAGCTAAACATGTCGATTTTTTGATGGTTTAACACACTTACTTTTCCTTTAAGGGATTGCTCTAAAGGAGAAAGTGAAGTGGGTCGAACTTTTACGTATCTTATCCGAAAAGTCGGCGATTTTTATGTATTTTTATCTAGCAAGATATGGAAGGTCAAATTAAGTACGGAGATAGAAATAATTACGTCAAAACGTTTAAAAATAAAGATGAACTCGGGTGTTCTATAGGTGGTAGTGTATTGCTCCGAGGATGTGCAAACTTCGAAGTGGGAATAACGCCAGATGTTTCACAACAGCAAACAACAAGAAGTTTGGTATAATGCCACACAGCCTAATATCGTGAAGTTTTATCTCGAGTGCATTTATTTATTTATTTATTTCATTTTTTTCTCCTCCCCTTCCCTTCCCTGCCGAATAAAATCGTTTCGTAGATAGATAAAAAAAACGGTTTAAATTCACTTATATAAAAGAGATTGTGGATAGATAGATATAATTCCAAGAATTTTCATCATTTTCTCTTTAAAATTGTTACATTATTTTGCATATTTTTACGATAGATTCGAATTTTAACTCTCCCTCCTCCTATTTAAACGCGCAAGAAAGCATTACTGGCGAATTTTTCATTCAAAAATATACTTGTTTCTATTATTTCTTGGCACAAAATAACAAAAAAAAAAAAAAATAATAAAGAAAAGATGTTTATAAATATTATTTTGCATTAATGATTCGAGGAATTTATCGTTAATATTTTTCCTGGAATTTATATTTGTTTAATTAGAACCTGATATAACGTTACTTTTCAAGGTTCGTATAAGAAGGTCGATCTTTTAATTCAGTCACGTGGGAGACTTCGTTATATACAGTAGGTCCGTATACGGTTCGTTATGTTATAAAAAGCTCAATGTCGAGCGTGCAGTTATGCAAATTTCACTCCCCTCTTTCTCTCCAAATCCGTAATTATTTCCACAAGACAAAATTGACAAAATTTTCATTTAATAGTAGAAGCAGCTTACAGGAGCCGCGGGGAAAGAGTCTAGGACCCGTAATTTGCATATTTTTATGCTTTATCGACAAGGAGTGAATTGCGCGCTTATATTTCGGCATGACTTTTATAAAGAATTCAATCTTCGAATATTTTATTTTTAATAAAAAAATATATATATATATAATAAAAAGTGTAGAGAACGAGGGAAAAAATTCAATTTAAATTCGTAACTTTTAACGAATTAACATTAAGTTTAAAGTAAGGAATCATCCCTAGGGGGATATGTTATTTGCGGTGTTCATAAGAATCTTGTAAATTAAGGAAAGAGAATTTATCAATAAAAATAAGCCTGTTTTCCTTACTACAATTCATTATCTTAATTATTTACTTAGTAGTAGAGATAAGAATTCGTTAATCCATTCTTAGAACTCCATTACTTAACGGAATCGAGTTAATCCCTGTATGCTTTTATACACTACTTATTGTACTTACTTTACTGATTATCATCATTACTATTTACTACATTTGCCATATATATATATATATATATATATACAGTGTCAATAATTTCGTGTGTAGTCGTAGAGTAAAATTGATATTTATAATTTCTTAGAATATCCAGTCGAAACCATCCCTTCCTCTAGTCGACCGGTGTGATAAAAAGGTTTTTAGCAAACATCCAGTTTTATCAGAAACCAAGTTCCTGTTGCGTTCGTCCTTCTATCAAAATGAAAACAACGAAGCTTGCTTGTAGCAGCTAAATCAGTTCCGTCGTAACTTGACCTATATTTTCATCGTTGACCTTGGTTGCGATACGTAGTCTTTTATATACGTATCGTTCGTTAGAAGGCCTCGATATTACGCTAGATTTTTCGTCTCCCGATATTGCGCACCAAACAAGCCAGTTCGAGTGATTACTTTATTTTAAATTTTTCAACAAAAGGGGGGGGGAGATGGGGTTGAGTTTGTTTAGTATAAAATTCTAATTCTTGTAGGAAATAATTGATTTGTCATACAATTAGGAGAGTATAATTAGTCTTGGATGGATAGGAGTTTGTTAATAAATGACATTTTTGACATTGTAGTAATGATTTTTAAATACAAATTCGTTCTACATATCCTTTTAATTAGCCAGGAGCATAAACCACTTAGTCCATTTGACTAATCAAAGTAGTAGACATACACCGTACTGTACTTATTTTAAGTCAAAGTAGGTGGCCTAATTAGTTTGTAAAATATCTTTTTAAATGCTTTCTAAATCATTTATTGTTTCTTAGGGCCCGTCAGGTTGATAAGAAACCTATTAAAAATTCATAATTTCTTCATTTAACACACCTTGTAAACAATGACCGTTGAAAAATGTCAATTCATTAAGGGGTGATTTTACACATTTTAGAACCGTGACCAATTATTTTCGAGGTATTTTATTACAATTAGAGCCATTTAAGTTAATACAGGCGGTACGTTTTCAATTCTTTTCAATCTTAAATTGTGTGAAAACACTTACTTTTCAAACAATTTAGACTTCAAAGTTATCTTTTCATTTAGATCAGCTTAACATTCTCATTTTAATTACTATTTCTAGTGATTTACAGTTGGGATTTTTGAAATTTTCACAATTTACAAACTCCTTTCCAATTATAAAATTCGCCATATAAAACGAAAAAAAATTGTCGCTTCAAATACAGATTTAATTGGAATAATGTACTGTACATTTTCTACGTCAATTTGATGTCATATCTTCAATTTTATAATGAGAAATTCCAAAGAATGACGTCGATTTTACGTAAAAATATGAGCTAACTTCGCAGACACATTCGATGGATAGAAAGGATATTAGCTTAGATAAATGATATTCTATTACTAGAATTTTCGAATTTCAGCTCAAATATACGATGTTTTAGAACTAAAATTACTTATTTTAGCTTAAATAAGTAATGATTTAGAACTAAAATTTCAAATTTTATTCGTAGACACGTGTTAGACACATCGAAGTTAAAGTTTCGAATTTAAGTTATAGAAACGTAATGTTTTAAATCCAAAATTTCAAAAATTATATGAAGACAGACGAATGAAACAATTAAAAACACAAATATTAATAATTTAAATTTAATTTTATTAATAAAAAAATACAATTTTAACCAGTTATAATCGTATAAATAAATAAGAAACGTGACTCACTTATCACAGTGTGATTCCAAGAACCACACTTTATAATAATATTCGAATCGTAATATTTTCATTTAATTTTAATTGATAACGTTAATTATAATTTAATATTTAAAACATTAAAAAAATCTAAAAAATAAACAAGTAAGCTTTCAATTTAAAGTCTCCCAAAACACAATTTTTATTACTTTTTTCCAATTCCTTGACCTCAATAACCGTAACTTCTCCTTAGAAAATAACATTTGTTAGTAATTTTTATGCGAATCCTGTTATAATATCATAATATATGCCTCATATATTTTATTACAGTCGAATCTCCAATAACGACCACCTCTAAAAGGCGGCCATTCTCTCAGAAACTGTTATACTTTAAATACCTTACATTCAGTGTCCGTTGTTTACAGGTTTGACTGTATTATTAATTTCTCATGACAACTTAAATAAAATAAAATAAAATCAGGTTAAGAGCATCGATACTATAATTATCCTGGTTTCATTTTTGTTTAAAATAATATATAAGGAAAAAATATATATATAGGTCTATATATAAATATGCTAAAAATTATTATTAAGAATCTTATTAATCATGTGAAATATCTTATTCTTGAGATGATTTATGGAATTCTGATATAATCTATCAACTTAGAATAATTGATAATTATAAATTATATCAGTTACTTAATATTAATATTTGAAAAAAATAGGATAATGTAATATATATATGGGTCAATGTACTGTACGGTCAAACCCTCCTAAATAGTGCCACCACATAAAATGCCAATGAAATTGAGAATTCTTTCAGGATCTGTACGTTGCAAGCCATAGTTTTTAATGGCAAATTACAAGCTCCCGAAATCAAATTAGTGTGTAGACTTTAATATACATAATTCTCATCGTTCCAGATACTTCAATTTAACTCCACACTCGATTTAGTGCCGATTTCAGAATCAAATATGGTGGCGACAATTCGAAATTTGTATTTTAATTAATACAGTTCTTATATCTTAAATATTATATAAAGAATCGTGAGTTTTTATATTATTCTATAGATTAATTCTTAGATACTGTATATCAGTGGCGCATTATCCTACGGGCAAAAAGGGCAATTGCCTGGNATGAAAATATTTTTGAAAAAGAAAGAAAATTTTAAAGTCAAGTTTAGTGATTTTGCACGGTAAACAACTTCCCTCCTGGTATTTCAATGACTATTTTTGACCAGGGTCAAACCATCACCTTTACAAACTTCTTCTCCCTTATATTTTAAAAGGTCAAAATAGCCTACAGGCCACTAAGCAAGAAGTAAAATAACAAAATATCTACATTGTTTGCCATGTCGAAAGGTGTTATCAGCTAGT